TTTTATTTACAAAGTGCCCATTTTTGTGGTGCTAGGGATTGAACCCAGGACTATGTGTGCTACGCAAGTGTTCTATCACTGAGCTACATCCCTAGCATTTTACTTTTTAAAAGTTATCTTGACATGGAATACACCCAAGGTATAGTGTCAAGAAACAGCAGTAACAATAACAAAAGTCTTGGGAAAGGCAATAAAGAAAGCTGAAAAGTCAGCTATCAAGATTGTTTTTATTATCATCTAAAATGTACTCTTAATAGAGTGAATGAAGTACAAAGAAAGCGACAGAAAAATTACTAGGAGCAGGCACTGGAAAATTTTAATGGGGACCTTAAGCAGTGGGGTCTTAAGGCAGTATTTACATTTTCTTTACAATTTTATGTCTTTTTCCAGATGTTCTCCTAGGAACGTTTTATTTACTGACTCCTTTACATATTCAATAAACAGGTAGGGAGATGTTAGCTGTCAAGCCCTCTGCTTTGTGCTGGGGAGATTAAAATAAACTAGATAGAACAGTTGAATTCTTGGCTCTGCCCAGAATTCATATATATATATATATATTCCTTTAAAATGAAAAAAATTGCTTTTTAGAAGTTGTTTCATTTGATTCAGTAATTATACTTTTAGAAATCTAGCATAGCTTTAAAAAATATAAAACAGATGGGCATGGTGGCAATGCCTTTAATCCCAGCACTCGGGAGGCAGAGGCAGGCAGATCTCTGTAAGTTCAAGGCCAGCCTGGTCTACATAGTGAGTTCCAGGCCAGTTGGAGCTGCAGGGAGACCCTATCTCAAAAAGAAAAAAAAAAAAAAAAGTAAAACAAAGGCTATGGCTCAGAGCATACACTGCTCTTGCAAAGAGCCTGAGTATAGCTCCCAGCAGCCATGCTGGATGATTTTCAACCTGCAACTGCAGTTCCAGGCACCTGCACTCATCTGCACATTTGCAAATGCAAACCCACACACATACACACAATTTAAAATAAAATAAATCTTTTTTAAAAAATGAAGCAAAATTATCACATAAGAATGTCCACAAGAGCAATAATCAAAGAAACAAGAATGTCAGAATCACCTATCTGCACAACAGTGGGGGATAATTAAATAACAAAACATTCATATAATGGGATACCATGAAGTCATTAAGGTTATATTTCTTGCTTGACTGGATATGCCTTAACATATATGACAGAATGCATGAAATCCGGTGTGGGGGGGCTATGGGATGCACTGGGTGGGGGAGGGAGGTCTAAATTTGATTATGATCTATTATATGAAGTGCATGAAAACTCAATAAAACATACATAAAAAGTTATATTTCTGAAGACTTTGTCTTTTATTGACAGTGTCATCCATTTATGTAATGATTTCAGTCATTTCCAGCCCCATTCCCACCTCTTATTACCCCCCTTCTTAAGTCCCCTCCATTACTTTTGAGTCTTCTGTGTGTGACCCACTGAGTTCAATTAAAATTTCTTGTCTGAATAAAATAAGTTATTATTGTTTTCTATGGAAAATATAAGTTGAAAAAAATAAGTTATTATTGTTTTCTATGGAAAACATAAGTTGAAAAACATATAAAAACTTACCTCAGTAGCATAGTATAATAGTCATAGATGAGAATTTCAAATGTTAACAAGTGTTATTTTTGACTATGAAGTAATGGTTGGTTTGAATTTTTTTTTTGGACAGGGTCTCCCTAGTCCCAGCCTGCCTGGGACCAGGCTGGCCTCAGTCCCATAGAGATCTGCCTATCTCTGCCTCCTAAGGGCTGGAATTAAAGGCTGGTTTGAATTTTTTATGTCCTTCAATATTTCCCAAAGTTTCTGCAATAAATAAGGTGTAATTTTATAGCTAGGAAATCCACATTGTCATTTTTAAATATTTGATTCAAAAGTTATCCATTAAAAATTCAAAGAACATAAAAAATGGTTTAACATTTCTTATAAATGCCTGTCCATGCTAGAGGAAGGAGAGTGCATTCCCAGGGAGACTGCTTACAGCCCCAGTGTTTCTACAACATTCTTGGGAGAGAATGAATGGGTGTGCATGCAGGGGATATTCCATCAAGGGGCCTGAGGGGATGAACTCCCGAAGGCTCAGGAGGCTAAGCAAGGAGAAGAGGAGGGTGCCCTTGAGGGACGTGACAAGACCACAAGTCCGGGTTCTAACTCTAATTTGAACTGTAAATTGAAGTATGTTTTTATTAACCTCCCTGAGCCGTGTATGTGATCATTGCAAAAGTGCGGCTTTCTTGTGTTCCAGCAGCTGAGACCCTCAGGGCTCAGTGTCACAGAGGGTTAGGGTCCCATCACAGTCTATACAGAGAAATAACAGTAGGTCTGAAATCTGGCTCCCTGCCCAATCTCACGTCGGCATTTGCTATTTTAATCTTCTAAGTTCCCGAGGAAAAAAGCAAGTAGGGCTGTGGAACAGGCTCCTGTGCTAGCCAAAGGCTCACACTGACAGGTCTCCCTGGAAGGTAGGCAAGGACCCAGTGCACACACACAAAAAATCAACTTACCCTTAACTCCAGAAAAGTGTGCATGGGAACGGAAATGCCAGGTTTCACTGTACTGATACATCTGGCTATATACCATGCTGGGTTTTTTTGTTTGTTTTTTGTTTTGTTTTTATTTTTATTTTTTAAAGCTTAAGGAGTTAAAGAAGCAAGTCCATAGAGAGATATTTGCAGGTATTCCTTGTTTAGCAAACTCAGTATCTAAAAGCCAGCATAGTCCAGATGATAAACTTTCAAGATAATTTATTTCACTATCACTTTGAATAACTGGTTTAAACACTGC